CATTGCTGGATCCCCCTTTCCAATTCAGTAGGTCTGGGGCGGGGATGGAAATAATGGATCTCTGACAGGTTCTCAGGACCAGTTGCTGCTGCTGGTTGGAGATCACATTTTGAGTTACCACCGCTCTGCATCTAGTTAGAGAAGACTGGAGGGGTAGATTGGAGTGACTTTTCAGATAAGAAGAAAGGTGGGTGGGAAACAAACTTTGGAAGTCTTGGAGGTATGGCTAAAATAGAGATATTTGAATTCGATATTACATTTGGCAAAACTTCCCAATAGTTGACAAGTTTGAGGGAGTAACTATGAGAATACATGGTTGAAGTGGCCTGTAAATGAAGTTATGATATGCAGGCTGGCAAACGCCTGGAAAAAAGTTACTTTAAAAAGTAAAATACTGGGCTTCCCTGGTGGCGCAGTGGCTGAGAGTCGCCTGCCGATGCAGGGGACACAGGTTCGTGCCCCGGTTCGGGAAGATCCCACATGCCGCGGAGTGGCTGGGCCCATGAGCCATGGCCGCTGAGCCTGCGCATCCGGAGCCTGTGCTCCGCAACAGGAGAGGCCACAACAGTGAGAGGCCTGCGTACTCTCCGCAACGGGAAAGGCCACAACAGTTAGAGGCCCTCGTACCGCAAAAAAAAAAAAAAAAAAAAAAAAAAAAAAAAGGAAAAAAAGTAAAATACTGAAATGATGAAGATGAAAGAAGTGAAAAGGAAGATTGTAAAATGAAATATGTACCATCATTCGAATTTTATTAAAAATGCCTAGGAAAAAACCTGAAAAGATATGGCGATGTTTATAATAGTTATCCTGATGGGTGAGTTTTATCACCTTTCTTCGCCTTTCTAAATTTCAAAAATTCTCTCCATCATCTTGTTTTCCCTTCATGACTGAGAAAAGCTTCTCCTGTTTTGAACCTCCACAGTCTTGGGCATTTCCATCTGGCTGAATTAAATTATTTCCTCTTCTGTCCCTCCGTCAGACTTATTTCTCTTTGACATCTTAAACTGTGCCAGAAGTATGAAAATCAACAAAATTAAAATAATCAAAGACAAGCAAAAGAAAACAAAGAAAAGGAAGAAAGAACCTCAAGAAGAGAAATAATTTAGTCAGTCCTGACACCAGCAAGAAAGTATCTTGGTCATTGGCCTTCCGATCATTCTGTATATTGGAAGGTTGTAATCACCTGCCTGGAGGTTGTAACCACCTGCCTGCCAGGCTGTTCATGACTGGTGACCTCATCGACTGGTCAGTCAGGGAGCTCTATTCCTAATCTCTTACCCATCACCTCCTGTTTCTTCTCATGGGGTCAGGCATGTGCTGAGGATCGTTCCCAACTTTACTCTTCCTGTACAGAGTTCTACCTACTTATCCCTCTTTGAATTAGATCCCCTCCCAGCCAAATAATATCACTCAAAAAAGTTATTCTTTTCTGTAATTTATTTATTAAAATTATTAAAATAAAAAACTGCTTGACAACTTAATCTCTCTTAATAACAAGGTTTATTTGGGGCATAAATTCAAAGTTCCAAACAGTTAAAGTACATATAAACTTTTAGAACACAGCCTGTTTTATCCATGAGAGCACTTGTGCAATAAAAATTGTGTATACATTATTTGTCATAACATATACCAGTTGGCAATGGTATTTGCCAGGAAGAATTTCTTGCTCATTTCTTTAAAGGAATGAGATATATAGGACTTTGGCATATGTATCTACTTCATTTCAAAGATGAACAATTCCGAATTTTGTGTCTAGGCCTTGTAATTCTTTACGTACAGAGTAGAAACAAATGAAATAACTAAGTAAACATTTATAGGTTTAATCATGTATGGTTTCAAAATCAGGAATATGAATATATATTCAAATTTTTTCTATAAAAATCTATAATTATGGGAGAAAATAATTAAACTATGCCTACAGCAAAATGAAAGGGATATATAAAATTTTAATTATCACCATGCACACTGATCAGACCAGGAAAGACTAGAATCTTGATATTTCAACTACACTGACTACTCTGTACCTATTTTCTTGAATGTCCTTTTATCTCTGATAATAAAGTGTGAATTAACAGGACCATTCTAGAGACCAGAAAATGGTGATCATGTATGATTTGGTAAGTTAAGACAATAAGTGACAGAGTAGAACCAGAAACTCATTTTCCTAATTGCCAGCTTAGTACTTCTTATTCTAGACTGTATTAAATGTGCTGCCACAAGGCAAACCATGTCATTGCTGGTCCCATTTTAGAAATAGGTTGTATAAAAGTTTCCTTTGTGGTCAGGCAAAGGACACCTATTTAAAAAATGTCAGTGGCTGATCATTAATGACAAAATGTTTTTACACGTTGTTTATCGATTCAAGTTGTCCTCCATTTCTACAAATAATCATTACCTTCTAAGTTTGGTAAGAACAATCAGAAATTACTGAGAAAAGGGATGTTGGATATCATCTTGTCTATCATCTCAGTGGGGAAACTAAGATCCAAAGAAATTTTTCAGAGTTATAGTGTGAGTTGATAGGAGTCTCCAGACTTTTAGTCCAGGGCTAATTATGGCACATGGCACTACCTCAGCAGATCAGTATTCTGAAACAGTGTGGCGTAACTGAGAGGATGTTTCTGGGACCATCAGTCTTGATCAACGTTATCAGTGTTGGGAGTTTGTGTGCCATTTTACCTCTTTATTTTTCTCATCCATTTATTCAATACACTTTCATTTTTTTGCCTGATGTTTTGGGAGTGGGGATAGTCAGAAAAAAATAAGTTAAAAGCTAAGTGGCAAATGTGATTTAATTTATTTTTAATTTTAATTAATTTTTTTTTTTGCAGGGGAATGAGTGAAGTAAGGTTGGCTGGAATGTAGAAAAGTTGCAATTTTCAATGGAGAGAAGGCCAAGAAAGAGAGATGGGAGGGATGGCCTTCCTACTGCCAGGGCCTCTGCTGGGCACTTTTATGGAGTTATCTCATTCCCCTTAACACCCCTTTAGGTATAGGGCCTGTTAACCTCATTTTATTACTCATGAAGAAATTGAGGAGCAGAGCAGTTTTGTAATTTACCCCACAGTCACACAGCTGATAACTTGTAGAGTCAGATTCAATGCGGGGTCTGTATGGCTGCGAAGCCTGTGTCCTTTTACTTTTGCAGTAGAGTATGTGAAAGGTGAACCAATGAAAATAACAGTAACTGCAGTGTAATATTAATAACAGTAATAATGATAGCATAGTGCTTTACATACGTGCTCTCTTTGAACGGGATTAAGTGAGCACATGAACAGGACTGATAGGGTGTCTTTGTACTCTTCATTAGTGAAGGAGGCAAGGGAGAAAGAGGACATATACTTAAGATTTCCTTTGGTTTACTTTGCTTTCTGAAAAATATTTGGAAGGCTCAGTTAGTTTAGTTTTGCCACGTTTATCAGCTTATTATGTTCTTGATGTTGGTGGATGGGTTGGTGTGTGATTGTGTGAAATCAAACCTGATATATTCAGAACAATTCTCCCAGTGGATAAATATGCCTTTGGGTTTGATATTGAGTTTTGTAATTAGCGATCTCTGTTCCTGTTTACTGAATGGGATTTTTAATCTGTACCCAGGTCTTTTCCCTTCTGAAGCTGAATGTCATATATACTCATATCTTTTGGGGACCCACAAAAGACGTATGTTAAACTCCAATGAAAAAGTAAGTTATACCCCTAAATTAATCTCTGGTAACTAATTTTATATTAGTCTGCAGCTCCAGTTTTAGAATTAAGCCCAGTTCTCATATTTGCAAGGCGATGTCCAGTTCTGTGACACTGTGTAACATAAAGGTAGTGTCAATTTATAAATAATTTCTGTCTCCTAATGAATTAGTGCTCATTTACAACTATCATTTCGATACAAACTTAGGTAAAGATGGGTTCCGGCTCCCAAACTGGATTTTCTGTATTTAAAAATGTCATTCTAATTCGCAACTCCCCAAAACTGTTACTACGAAAGAACTATGCCATTCAGCCTAAAAATAAAACCTCTCACCCAAACTACACTCCTTAATAGCCACATTTTAATCTACATAATTTTAAACTAAGTTGAAAGAATCCATTTCTAGTGCAGTGATGTCAGACAAGAGTTGGAACTGGGACAGTGTGAAAGGGATAATTTAAAAGCCCACCTCCCTGCTTGGAGACACCTCAAGAATTTCTAGGCTCACGAGGGAGATTAAGGAAGAGATTTTAAAAGCTGAAGAGTGCTGCTCTTGGCAAGCCCCTGCGGACACAGGCCGAGCCGGCTGCGGCGAGGGCCGCGAAGAGTTAACAAGGGACCGAGCCCCCCTCGCCTCGGGCTCTCCGCGCGCTCCCCCCGCCCTCCTGTCCCCACCCTCTCGTTTTGGCAAGGGATTAAAGTGCTCCCCCCTGTGGCAGCAGTGACCCAGAAATGAGTTTGATTCACACAGTCCTTCCTCCATAACCAGCCAAACGCCCGTCCGAGAGTGCCTCCCTGCGCGAGCGCCGGGTGTGTGCGCGCGGGCGAGAGCAGGGGCCCGCCCGGCTCCCCGCCCGCCAGTCAGTCAGTCCGCCCGCCCGCCGCGGCCCGAACTCATGCGGCGCGGAGCGAGCGGCGAGGAGCCCAGCGCCGCGGCCGAAGCCCTCCGCAGCAGGTACGCGCGCGGGCCGCGGGGGGCGCGCGGGGAGGGCGCGCCGGGCCAGAGTCCGCGCGTGTCCGCGTGTGGGTCTGTGTGCGCGTCCCGATCCGGCGGCGGCGGCGGCGGCGGCGGCGGCGGCGGCGGCGGCGGCGGCGGCGGCGGCGGCGGCGGCGGGACGAGCAGAGAGGCTCAGCCATATTTGATGGTTTTGTTGCTTTGCTCGGGAGTTCTCGGGAGTAATTTAATGCCGAAGGTCGCTGCCTAGTGGAAATAATATAGTACGTCATTAATATGGCGCCAAAAGATTGGGTTCTCGATATGTAGCGAGGAGGGAGGGCACGCAGCCGCCGAGTGCAGCGTTACTATCCCACCAGTAACTTGGGCATTGCCGGGGCGGGGGCCAGAGGAGCAGGAGGAGGAGGAGAGGATGATGTTTGGATTCTGAGAATTGATCTATGTTGGATCAGTAAGTTTTATTATGATTATTTTTCAATTTTGGGGAACTGAAGACTTAGAGCTTTTTCTTCTTTTGGGTTTGTGAAGAACATGCGGTTTTCAGGCCAATCATCAATTAAAACGCGTCCAGGAGCAGAAGCCCAGTTTAGTTGGCTTTAGTTTATTAGAATTTTTTAAAAAGCCGAAGTGCATTAGGTTGCATGAAAGTGGAAAGCATAGTAGCAACTTGGTAGACAGATGGCAATGGCAGAACACAGGTCCGTGTACATATATGAAGCCAGAGTGTGTGTGACCGTGGTGGTGATGGTGGTGGTGCGGGGGGAAGGGACGACAACTGTATTTGTCCAAACATAGGTGTGTGTGTATAGGTACATCTATGTAGGGTGGCCGCAGCCTTAGCTCTTGTCACCGCGTCACCACATGTCCAAAATATTCATTGCATCAATTCAAGGGCAGGGAGGGAGGGGTGGTGGTGGGGGTGGAGGGACAGTTTAGCAATTCGATTCTTCCAAATTGGGTTTCCAATGATCAGACCTTTTACTTATAGCGAGACTGCCTGTGAAGTGTAAAACCCTTTATCGGTGAAATTAGGAAGGAGTTGCACTGGTAGAGCAAACTACCGATTAACCATGAACTTAAAACGGATTGCAACTTGCAACCTTTGGCACCATCTGCAAATTGTGGAAGTGGTATCGCTAGGTCTTCGCTGCCCTGAAATGAACGTGCAGCGTGCACCCCGGGACTGCAAGTTGCAAAGCCCTTCAGTGCACGTGTCTTGTGCCTGCGAGTGTGTATTTGTGAGTTGGGGGGCCGTTGTTCGATAGCTAGCAGGCTTTCCGGGTTGTTGGAGCTGGCTTGCAAATGCGGGAGAGGGATGGAATGTGGAATGTTGACCGGGGAACCGAATCCTGTCGGAACGGTCCCATTTGCTGGAGAAATTCGATCCCTTCCACCTCCTTCCCGCTCCCCCCGCCCGCCTGCGGGCTGGAGGCGGGGCCGAGGACGCGGCTGCTGCTCAAAGTGGTGGAGCGCGGCGGCGGGAGGCAGGTGCACGGCACCCGCCAGTGGGGGTGCCTCAACTTCCGCGGGCGTTTAAATAGCAGCCTCTCTCCCCTCCCACCGGTAATAGGTGACCTGGCGGCCGAGGGCGGCGGGGGGAAGGGGACGGGGGATACCCGGGAGCGAGCCTCCGCGGCACGTGGGCAGGTACTGGGTGGCCTTGGGGCCAACTTTTGTGGCCCGCCTTTGGCGTTGGAGGAGAGGTGGCTCCGTGTGGAAATGGGGGCGGGCGGCGGCTGAGACGCTGCTTTCTCGGCCGCGGCTGGAGCGTCACCTAACGGTCCCAGCAGAGCTGCCGGGCCCGGGGTGGGGGGCTTCGGGGGCGGGGACGCCCGGCCCACCGCGCCCGCGCCGCGGGAACCCCGCACAAAGCCCGAGGCGCGGGGGCGGCCACCGCGTTCCCGCCTGGGGAACTGCCCGAAGCCCGTCGCCGTCCCCGCGCTGATTCCGGCGGGCGGCCGCAGGCGTTTGTTGGTTCCGCGCCGCCTTCCTCGTCGGATGGCTTCCTGTGACAGAGGTGATACACAGTTTCCAGAACTGTCTGGGGGCGGGCGCCGAGCCCTCTCCGAGCTGCTCGCGGCCGCCGCTGCTCCCGCTCCCGTCTCACAACCGTTTCTCGCCGGCGCGCCCGCCCCAGCCCGAAGGTGCCGCCCGGGAGGGACTCGGGGAGGGGGACGGCGCGGCCGTTTCCAGTGGCGCAAGTGGCTTCTACACGCGAGGGAGCGTTTGATTTGCAACTGGGGCCGAGCGGATTGGTGCAGCTGGCGGCGGTGGGGCGGGAGGAGCGGCGGCGGCGGCGGGGGGGGGCCACTTTCAAATGGGCCGAGCGGATTGGTGCAGCTGGCGGCGGTGGGGCGGGAGGAGCGGCGGCGGCGGCGGGGGGTGGCCACTTTCAAATGGAGAGGGCGGCGGCGGGGACGCCGCTGCGGAGGGAGCGGGGCTTGGTTGCGCCACGAGAAGGTGTCATCACTGCACCGGGGCTAATTCCGGCGGAGGTGCCGGGAGTTACTTTCCCCTCCTCCCGCGCTGTTGTTTCTGTCGCCTTGGGAGGAGGAGGAGGAGAGAGAGGGAGGGAGGGGGTAGCGTCGCCGCGCGAAGCCGCGGCCTTGCGCACACCCCGGAGGGCCGCGGGAGCCGCGCGGTGCGTTCTCTGGTGCGGGGCGGCGGCTCAGTTCTCCCCTCCCCGGGATCCTCCTCCCCCTTCCTGGGGTCCTCAGCTTTCTCTCTGCGCAGCCCACCCGCACTCTCCCCCCTCACACACGGGTTCCGCATCCACGGGTCCTTCGCCCCGGGTGCTCCCTGCCCTGTCGTACACCCCCGCCCCGGCTTCCCCACCCTGGGCTCCCCCTCCCCGGCGCGCGGGGGCGGCCGTAGTCCCGGCACCCGGTGAATGCAGCGTGCAAACAAAAAAGCGGGCGATTTAAACGTGCCTTCGAAACCCGTTAGGAATGCGTCGTCACCCGGAGACCGTTTAAAAGCAGCTTGGGCTGGTTTTCTAGTAACGAGGAGGGAGGCGCCCACCTCGCTTCGGCGGCGGCGAAGGTCTGCCGCCCTCTGTTTACCACAGCCGAGGGGGAATTTAAATTTTCTTTTTGTAAAGTGATAGCTGCAGTTGAATGACTTCAGACGGCTACATTTTTAGGAAATTGCGAGAGAATCTGAAGTTTCCACTAATGGCAATGCTTAGGGGCTTCTTTCCCAAAGGTTTTTATTAGGGAACTATTTTTCCTTTTTAGAAACCCCGCTGCGAAAGGCTAGCTCTCTAGTTACCTACGTGGCTCGAGGCTAATATCTTTCGAAGTTAATGAACTAGTTTTAAGATCCAAAGAAATTATTTCCCTGAAAGCTGATTTAGGCAGTGATCCACCAATGGTTGGAGATTACTTTAGTAAGTGGTATTTGACCAAATCACAGCTAATCAAGATTTAATCGCTTTTAGGTGGAGGAAGGAAGCGTTCGGTGTAACTGGACCGTACTCCCACAGACAACACTCTTGATACAATAATGTGTGCTAGTAGAGTGGGCAGCACACACTGGAGAGCTAACAGGATGTTCTGTGTGTGACACTCTAGCAGATACCTGGAACTGAGAATTCTTAGTGTCCTTTTGTCCCAAGGTTTCAGTCTCATCTAATGTCACTTTTAACTCCGATGACTTTCGGATTGTTTGGTTATTTTGCTTTCTTCCTTAAGTTTGTGTATTTTTATATGTGTATTTGATGACCTGGCATTTTCAGCTACTTAAGTGTTACACATCTCCTTTCCTCCTTACACCAGCCAGAGATAAAGGCAGTAGAACTTGAACTTGTTTCCATCTTAAGGTCATAGGCTGCTTTCCAAGAAGAAAAGTTGAGTGGGTTGTCACAGATTTTTAACTTCTGACAAAGGTAGGTATATGTTAATTTAGAAAGAAAAAGATCACCCCCCCCCCACGCCGCCCAAGTTCCTCCTCCATCACTTGACAGGTTTTCAGCCTATAAATTAGTATTTTAGTTCTATATTTCTTACGGAGGTTGAAAGAGTAGCTATAAAGGGAAAATAGTGAGAAATGATGAGTGTGCTGGAGAGACCAGGGAGAGAAACCTTTTTGGAATGTAAGGAAATGCTGTATTTTAGAAATGAACAATTGCTTAGCCCAGACACTTTGGGGAGAAGGATTAACTAAAAACAGAAACAAAATTTGCAGGACTTGGTGAGAATACAAGCAGATCTCCATGTGTTTCACCTTCATAAATACTGATTTTGGACTTCAAGGAGCCCTTAGTGGCTTAAAGTATTATTACAGAAGTGGTGTTACGTGTACATAGTTGAAAATTAGAGAAGCAAATAGAAAAACACATTCCTGCCACCTAGAAATCAGCATTGTATCGTTTTCCAGATAATTGTGTTTATGTTTGTATATACGTTTTAATCGGAATGAGTCATACTGGCTATACAGTTGTGTAAGGAGTTTTTGCTTTTTGGTGTCCCCCCCCGCCCCCCGTTAGCAAGCTTGTCTCTTATTGGGAGATCTTCAGATTTCCTCACTCGGCCCCGAAATATAACACAGCAGCTTTGCCTAAAACGCTGTCCAGTCAGAGATCATTTATTGCATCTGGTTATTTCCCGTAAGTAGGTTTTAGTCTGTGTAGTAACTTTGACAGAACCTCTGGCATTGAGGAGGCATGCCTTTGGAATCAGTCATGACTGGATTTGAAAGAGTTGGAATTAAACTAGCACTTTATTGTAATTTGGAAGTCTTCAATTTGGAGATTATTTGTTTGAAAACTACTTTAAAGACATTTGCGTGATGTTTTTATCCACAGACTTGCTGGAAAAAGAATTATCACCTGTTTGTGTTCCCGTACTGAGGTGGTTAGAACAGCAGACATCAAGATATACCCTGAGAAAACCATAATTCAAAAAGAGTTATGTACCAAAATGTTCATTGCAGCTCTGTTTACAATAGCCAGGACATGGAAGCAACCTAAGTGTCCATCGACAGATGAATGGATAAAGATGTGGCACATATATACGTTGGAATATTACTCAGCCATAAAAAGAAGCGAAATTGAGCTATTTGTAATGAGGTGGGTAGACCTAGAGTCTGTTATACAGAGTGAAGTAAGTCAGAAAGAGAAAAACAAATACCGTATGCTAACACATATATATGGAATTTAAGAAAAAAAATGTCATGAAGAACCTAGGGCTAAGACAAGAATAAAGACACAGACCTACTAGAGAATGGACTTGAGGATATGGGGAGGGGGAAGGGTAAGCTGTGACAAAGCGAGAGAGAGGCATGGATATATATACACTACCAAACAAAATAGACAGCTAATGGGAAGCAGCTGAATAGCACAGGGAGATCAGCTCAGTGCTTTGTGACCACCTAGAGGGGTGGGATAGGGAGGGTGGGAGGGAGGGAGACGCAAGAGGGAAGAGATAGGGGAACATATGTATATGTATAACT